AGATAAAGCTGGTTGTTTTATATTTGAGGGTGTTTCATAATATGTTTACCTTGATGGATTGAGATTGATCATTGAATCAACAAGTGTGTTATTAAAGATCATCAATGGATTTCTTTCATTCAAATTTATTTATTGAGAGATGTTTATAGGTCGATTTTGGGTAACTTGAGTCTAAAACTTTGGTAGATTTCGGAGTGGTTCTATGTCGTGGATTCGACATTGGCATTGTGGATTCTATATCTGGCAAAACAATTATGAGGTGAAGACAGTGGTGAAAGAGGCACAGCGGGTTCGATTCAATTTATACTTGGATTCATTAAGTAATTGAGAGTTCTCGTGTGTAATTTATTTGTCTTCTTAGTGGATTGTTTTGTGGTTTTGACACATGATTTTTTTTATCACAATTAGAGGTGTTTCAATTGTGGTTGTTTTTTTTCCACGTTATATCATTATGTTGATTTGTCGATATTTGTTTTGTTATTTGATTGAATTAGATCTATTTGTGTTTGATTGGAGATTGTTATTCATTGCTAAAATTGAATCCTAATTGCAAGTCACTATCTCGGGGTTTTTAAGATTTTGACAAACAACAAACTATAAACAACAAAAACAAATCTGTTGAAAAATTAGTTGCGATTCAAAAAAAATCATTGATCTTCTCATAGATGTGAATTGGAAAGCTATATCTGCATTAAATCAAGCAAAATCTGCATCAACATTCACTATCATCTTCAACATTGCCTCCATCGCTGTTGTCCAACTCTGCCACCAGTTCCGTTGTATTTCGGACATCATCAGACGCTAAAACCTTATGTTATTTGCACTTGTAATGTAATAGAACTTCAAAAGAAAGTAAAATATATTAAGTGAAAGAGAAGACAATTGTTTTTTTTTTTTTTTAGTTCTTGAACTTTTTAGATAAAGTAACTGAGCAGATAAGATGACGATTTTTTTTTTTTTATAGTTCTTGAACTTTTTAGATAAAGTAACAGAGCAAATAAGATGATGATATTACAACTCTGCTGCGACCCCAGTCCCCCCACGTGTCAGCCTGTCATTAGCTGAAAATAAAAATAAAATAAAATAAAATATTTTTTAGACCAATCACAAAGTACCCAGCACCCCACTCGGGAGGTCTCAAGCTTTATTCATGACATTAATAGAAGATTTTCACATTTACAACTCAAAACTTTCACTTACGGTTAATTAAAAAAAAACAAACAAACCAACACACCTGCTTTTTAGATTATGCTAGTCGAAAAACCAACACACTGAAATAAGTCTTTTAGAGCAAATCTAATGATTATTATCAAAATAATAATGCCAAAGGTGTAATTTAATAATATGACATAGTAATAAAATACCAAAAATTGATAATGTTTCTTTACTGATGTAAATATCATTTTAAAACATCAAAAGACATTGCATATTTATTTTTGTTGTACATCAATGGGGGTGTTTGTTTGGATTTTTTTGAGTCAACTTATGGCTTATGGCTTTTAAAAAGTTATTTTGGACTGTTTGGTTAAACTTATTTCAAACAGCTTCTGATTCTAACAACTTATTTTAAGTCAAAAAAGCTGATTTTGAGAAGCTACTCACCCCTTGCTTCTGATTATTAGCTTCTGCTGTGAGCATGTTAATTTACGGTTATACTCTTAGATTTTTTTATTTTTTTAAAAATAGAATAAGACCTAAATGGACTATAAAATATTATTGTTATTTTTTATGAGAAATATAGACAAGTAGTTAATAATAAAAAATAAAAGTTAATTGAAAAAACTATTTCACAGCTTATTTAACAAACACTACTTAACAACTTAAATCTATGATTCAACAGTTACACCAAACAGATTAACAGTTTTTTATTAAAGTCATAATCTATAATCTATTAAGTTATAGTCTATAATTTGTTTTAACAGTTACACCAAACGGGGCCATATCATTGATCAAAACTCCCGCTAAATTGACAAAAATCACATTAGAGTTACTATTTGGCTTGGCATTTTCAAAAGCAGATTTCAAAATTTTAATTTGTTTTTTAGTTTTTTGGTAAATTTTTTAATTTTTTAATCAATTTTTTTTACTATTTAGATCTACATCCAGATATACTTAAAAAATATAAAACTTATGCAAATATTTGCAAAATTCACTAAGTACAAAAAATTAAAAAATTATGTTTTTGTATAATTTTTTATTTATTAAATTCATTTTAATTTATTCACAAATATATTTTACTTTTTAATTATATTTAGATTAGGTATGTTTCTTGATCCAAAAAAAGAAAAAAGAAAAAAGATTAGGCATATGTAAAAAATAAAAAAAAATTGCTCATGATAACAAAACACAAAAGAGAAGGGCTTGTTTGATTTGTTTCTCACGAAAAAAAAGTCAATTTTTTTTGAAAAAATGAAAATTAATTTGATAAAAATAAATATCAAAAAATATTTTTAAAAATTATTTACGATCTTCCGAAAGATAAAATTGTATAAAATGATAAGTATTTTCAATTTTTTTATTTCTTTCATCAAATTAATTTTTAATTTTTTATTAAAAAATTTTGAAGTAAATTTTGTGAAAATCAAACTAAACATGATCAAAATAAATAAAAAAACATTTTAAAAAATTTAAAACCAAACAAAAGAGTTCTAATATTTGAGTTCTAAAAAAACTCTACACCTAAAGCAAGGAAAAAAAAAAAAAAAAACACATACAGATACACAGACACACACATCACATCACAAGTGAACCCCACCCATTTAGAGCTCCTTTAGAGCTCTCAATCTTTATTTTTTTATTTTTACAATAGTGATAGAAAGCTCCAGCAGAGCAGCTCTACTCAACTAGCAGTGCCAAAAAAAAAAAAAAAAAAACATAGAGGAGAAAGACAAATTAGAGTTGTTTTAAAACTCTTCTTTTTAGAGTTCTAAAATATTTTCTAAAATTCTTGTAAAAGAGATTAAAAATGAAAATTAATTAAATTTTTTGAATAAAGCCAAAAAAAAGAAAAGAAAAAAGAGTGCATCCGAAGGGGCACAAAATGCTCTAGGGTTGGGACTACATAGAAATAAACACAATAAAATAAAAGTAACCATGAATATTCTCTAAATGAGGGGATTGGGTTAACTTAACCCCTTCACATCCTTCACCCTGTCCGTTAATAGCACGACAAAGCCACTTCCCCATAAAAACCGAACAACTTTCCGCTAAATGCTAAGACAAACGGCGTCAACCCCCGCGCCCCACAAAACTAACGGCACTACAAACGGCCGTTTCTCCTTCTTTCTTACGAGCCAACTTTATTAAGGCTTGTTTGAGAAGAGGTTTAGGAGTTAAAATAATCAATAAAGATACAATAAAATAAAATAAAAATGATTAATAAAATAAAATAAAATTTTATATTTAAATTATAATAATTATTTTTTTTCACAATTATGATATCAATTATAAAAAAAATTAATTATTTTTTCAAGTATAATTTTTTTAATCAAACTCAAGAAATTATTTGAGGTACACTTATTTATCTTTTATTTTTTTAAATCACATAACTTCTTTATATTTTTTTACATATTTTTCATAAAAAATTAAGATACTATTTGACATAAACTAAATAAGTGTATTTATTAAGATAAATATATTTATTTAAATTATATCGGCCTTGTTTGGTTTGTTTTTCAGAAAAATTTTTGAAAAAAATTCTCTACAAACAAATTTTCAAGAGTAATCAAACCAAACAAATTTTTTCAAAAAAAATCTCAAAATTTTATTTAGTTGCTTACTTTCCAAAATCACACTCTCTCTCATACACATCAAATCAATCATTTTTTTAAAAACTCCCTCCAAAACAATTTTCTAAACTATTTTTGAAAAAAGACAAACCAAGCAAGTTTTCGTACTTTTTATCTCAAAAACTACTCTACAAACACAAACTAAACACACGCATCATCTCTCTACTTTTCTACACATATTTTTATAAAAAAAAATATCCTTATTAAATCATTTTAAACAATTTCTAAAAATTATATACTTATTTAAAATATTCTAAAAATACAATCACTTTGCTTAGTTCCCATTTTTTAAAAATAGTTTTCAAAAAATTCAACACTCTTATTTTTCGTGTTTTTTTGTTTTACTGAATTTTTTGAATATTTTATGCAAATTTTTTACTTTTTAGACACACCTAACATAAATACACCTAAAAAGTAAAAAAATTATAAAAAAAATCTTTTAAAAATTTACTAAATACAAAAAATACAAAAAAAATATAAGAATTTAGTATATTTTTGTATTTTTATGTATTTCTTAATTTTTTAAAATATTTTTTCATAATTTTTTTACTTTTTAGGCACATCTAAGTAAGGTGCATTTAAAAAAATAAAAAAAATATTTAAAATTTTAAAAATATTCACTAAAAATAAAAAAATATAAAAATTAAAAAATTCAATTTTTAAAAAATTTAATCTAAAAAATTCAAACCAAACACAATGAGTAGTAGTCAATTTTTAAAACAGGGCCCCATTGTCCCCCCGTGGACACCTTCGCTTTTTCTGTGGTGTTTTGCTGCTTCCACCGCCTGTTGCCGGTAAAAGTGGGGCTCTGTTTACCGGCTATTCCCGGTCGTCACACGGGTTAGAATTTGACCGCGGTTGAAATCATTGCTATAGCAGTTTCGACCCCTCTGGTTAACCAAACCCTTCTCTCTCATCATCAGCTGTCGACGAAGAAAGGAAAGGACTGTGTGTACCCATTTGCTCAGGCACCTGCACTCATCAATCCAATCGCTTGTAGAGAGAGAAAGTAAAGCTGTAGATATAGAGAGAGAGAGAAAGTACTAGAGATAAAAAAAAGTTTGAGATACAGAGAGAGATAGAGAAAGAGAGAGAGAGAGAAAGTTTGGTATAGTAATAGAGGAAGCTAGAGAGAGAAAGTAGAGAAAGACGGTGAATTTGGGGGGTTTTTGAGGGGTTCAGATGAGAGATCTGTTTTGATTGTTCGTGGAAATGGCTTCTTCAGAGGTTTCTTTCAAAGGTAACAACGCTAGAGGTGAAAGCTTCTCTTCTGGATACTGCGACCAGAACGATGGAGCGGCGGCCAAGGCTTGTTCGACAGTTTCCGGCGGCGGAAAAGGTAATTCCGGCGGTTTTTCTTTCTTTTCCGGCGAGTTTGCCGTGGATCCCGAAACCGCGCTTTACACGGAGCTGTGGCGCGCTTGTGCTGGTCCGCTCGTGACCGTGCCTCGTGAAGGCGAGCGCGTGTTCTATTTTCCTCAGGGACATATCGAGCAGGTTAGTTTTTCGGAGCTTTTTGGTTTTGCAGAGCTTAGATTTTCTGAAAATTTGTCTCGAAGATGAATAGGTAGAATTTGTTTGTTTGCAATTGTAAAGCTTTGTTGGTTTTAGTAAGATTTTTCAGATTTTTGTAACCATAGGTTTGTTTGTGTTTATCAGCTGCTCATCAGTGATGAATTTTCTTGGTGTTTGATTAGGTTGAGGCATCAACTAATCAGGTGGCGGACCAGGAGATGCCGGTTTATAATCTTCCTTCGAAGATCCTCTGCCGTGTGATCAACGTCCAATTGAAGGTACTATCATCAGTTTTCCTGATCATTGATGTATGTTGCTTCGGGTTTGAGGATCGGTGAAACATTTATTACTAGTCTGGGTTTACTTTTCGCTGATAGCTCTGTTTCTGATTTTTATCTGTATAGGCTGAACCGGACACCGATGAGGTTTTTGCGCAAGTGACCCTGCTTCCTTTGAAAGTATGTATGCTCTGATCATCACGTTAAAGCGATAGGCAGAGAAATCAGAATTGAACCCTAATTGTTCGATGTTGTTAATGGCAGGAAGATGAGAATGAGGCGGGGAAGGAGCCTGTGCCACCTGCACCGACGCGTTTTCGTGTACATTCCTTTTGTAAGACCCTAACTGCCTCGGATACCAGCACTCATGGTGGATTTTCGGTGCTAAGACGACATGCTGATGAATGTCTTCCTCCACTAGTTAGGATTCATTACTCTATAACTTTGTATGTTTTGTTATTATGATTTGTTTGAATTAGATTGTCGTAGTAATTTGCTTTTTGCTATTTGACAGGACATGTCACGGCAGCCTCCAACCCAAGAGTTAGTTGCGAAGGATTTGCATGGAAATGAATGGCGTTTCAGGCATATCTTTCGAGGTAATTACTGAAATATTCTTTAACAGCTCGTAATACTAGATGGAATTGTATCCACCAACTTAAAAACTATTTTAAGTGCATAATTGGAGTGAGGGACCTAGTATCACTGTCATTATCACTAGTAAATGGTAGAAGGGGGAGGTTAATGTCAATTACTAGTGACCATTGCACGCTGTATTCATGTTCAAAAACATCCCTCTACAAGTTTGTACTTAATCGGTTATTGAAAACTGTCAGTAAATTTTACGGGTTTTCTTGTTTGATTTGGTGGGGATAAATATGTTTCACGTATTTCAGTTTAAAGTTTTTTTGGGGAGTACAAATACAGCATTGCTGTGAGGAAAAGGCTTTAGGAGTTTGATTCTGTCCCTGGTATGACAGAATTGGCTTTCCTGTGGATGAGTTTAGCCTTTATATTATCTAATTGCTGCATATGGTGGCTGTGTGATAAATGCATTTGGAGTTCATTTAAATGCACTCAACTATGTGAAATACTTGTCTTGTATGATTTTAATTTTCGAAGTCTTGGCTAGACTGTCTGATAGTATCATTGTGTCATTGTTACCCATGATGTTCACTGGCACTCTAGAAATGATTTGACTTCTTTTCTTCTGAACTGTTAATTTGAATGGTGAATGGTGATATCTACTATCATTACCTTAGTTGGATTGGGAAAAAAAAATTCAATATATATTTTATGACCTAACTGGATCCTAGTTACACTTATACCGTGTGTTACCATTGAACAAATATGTCTATATTTTAATCTAGTGCCCTAAGTTTAGCTTACATGATTTTGGAAATGTTAGGTCAACCACGGCGACACTTGCTTCAAAGTGGTTGGAGCGTCTTTGTGAGCTCTAAAAGGCTTGTTGCTGGGGATGCTTTTATATTTTTAAGGTTTGCAATTATCTGCACTTCACATTCCATGTTAGCTAATTTTTATTGACATGTGCAATGATTGTAACATTGAACTTTTTTAGAGGTGAGAATGGGGAGCTTCGTGTTGGAGTAAGACGTGCCATGAGACAGCAGGGTAATGTTCCCTCGTCTGTCATATCCAGCCACAGTATGCATCTTGGTGTCCTTGCAACTGCTTGGCATGCATACACGACAGGAACAATATTCACAGTCTATTACAAACCAAGGTTTGTGTTTTATGTTATATTTTACTGCAAGGATGCAATATTTTTCTTTTTCTTGAAGGAAAGTAGTTGGATATGGAAGTCAATTTTTAATGTCTGCAATCATCTCATGTACGTTCAAAAATATAGAAGTATCTGCTTTTCTTGTAATTTGCTAATGCTACTAATTTGTTATTACAGGACAAGCCCTGCTGAATTCATTGTTCCATTTGAACAGTACACTGAATCAATTAAGAGCAATTATTCCATAGGGATGAGGTTCAAAATGAGATTTGAAGGTGAAGAAGCTCCAGAACAGAGGTATGTCTACCGCATGTTGGCATTTACCCATGTGATTTGTTCACTTTGTAGGGTCATCTGGAAACTGGTTAATTTTTTATGTTTCTCATGTTGGAATAACTTGGGTTCTATTAATTTATAAAATATTATTAATTAAATTGTTGTTTTGAAGGTTTACTGGAACCATTGTTGGGATTGAAGAAGCTGATGCCAAAAGGTGGCAAGATTCTAAATGGAGAAGCCTCAAGGTAGTATTGTCTTCATAAATCAGGTGTAACTGGTTATATAGGAAGCTGAAGCTTATATGTCATGGTTTTGGCTTTGAAGGTACGATGGGATGAAAACTCCACCATTCCTCGTCCAGAGAGAGTGTCACCCTGGAAAATAGAACCTGCTTTGAGTCCACCCGCGCTAAATCCCCTTCCATTGCCCAGACCAAAAAGGCCACGATCAAATATGGTGCCCTCTTCCCCCGATTCCTCAGTTCTTACAAGGGAAGGTATGCCCCCCGCCTGAGTTGCTCAGTCAATAAGCAATTTAATCTTTCTTTAGCTTCATGTCTGTAGTTTGTAGAGGTCAAACAAGGATTTATGTATTTGTTTTTAAAAAAAAAACAAACACGATTATTTATGTATCTGGAATTTTTGTAATTTGAATTAGGTTCATCTAAGGTGACAATTGACCCTACACCAGCAAGTGGATTTTCAAGGGTCTTGCAAGGTCAAGAATTATCGACCTTGAGAGGCACTTTTGCAGAGAGTAATGAGTCGGATTCTACTGAAAAGCCTGGTTTATGGCCACCTTCATTGGATGATGAGAAGATTGATATGGTCTGTGCGTCACAAAGATATGGATCAGACAGGTGGTTGCCGTCACCAAGGCCTGAATCAACATTCACAGATCTATTGTCAGGTTTTGGGACCCATACTAACTCCTCCCATGAGTTTTGTACACCCTCAGTTGATCAAAGTACTGGTGCTGTTAAATCGATGAAACTCAACTTACCAGATCAGGAAGGCAGGTTCAGTTTTCTTCCGAGTAATTGGTCTGCAATGCCTTCTGGTCTCTCCCTCAATTTGTTTGACTCCAGCATGAAAGCTCATGTGCATGGCAGTGATGTACCTTATCATACTCAGGATGTTAGATGTGGTGGTTTTGATGAGTATTCCTTGCTTCCTGGTCAAAAAGCAGAGCAACAGCAACGAAATTGGTTAATGCCTCCGCCACTTTCATCATCATATTTTCAGATGCCTGCTCAGTCTGGAGAGCTGATTTCAAGACCTGTTCTGGTACAACATGAGGCTGTGAAACCTAAAGATGGGAACTGCAAACTATTTGGTATACCACTCAATCCTGTTACTGTGGAGCCAACAGTGTCGCATAAAAATTCAGCTTTGCCAGCAGGTCATATGAATCTTGTTTCGCACTCACAGCAGTCCCGATCCTTTGAATCTGATCAAAGATCTGAACAAATAAAGGGCATAAACATGGCAGATACTTCACATCCTAGTAGTGAGCAGGAGAAACCATCCCAAACGTGTCAGCCTCATATCAGAGATCGCCAGAGGAAAGTCCAGGGTGGTTCAACAAGGAGTTGTACAAAGGTTTGCGTCTATCTATTTGTATAGTTGTACATCTGATGTTATTATTGCTGAAGGAAGTTCTAAATGAATTTTCTTGAATATTTTTTTGTTGTTTCAGGTCCATAAGCAGGGGATTGCTCTTGGTAGGTCTGTGGACCTTACCAAGTTCAATGACTATGAGGAATTGATTGCTGAATTGGATCAGATATTTGACTTTAATGGTGTATTGAAGGCTCAGAACAAGAATTGGTTGATCGTATATACTGATGATGAGGGTGATATGATGCTTGTTGGAGATGATCCTTGGCCGTAAGTACTCTTTCATGCTCATAAGCTATTATCAAATGAGTTTATTATTACATTATGTTATTTGAATTTGCATAACAGCAGCAAATCTTTCATAGAGTTAATAACTGGTTCTTTATTGTGTCGTGTGAAAACAGGGAATTTTGTGGCATGGTTCGTAAGATCTTCATCTATACCAGGGAAGAGGTCCAGCGGATGAACCCAGGGACCCTGAATTCCAAGAACGAAGAATGTTCATTAGGTGGAGAATGCATGGATGAGAAGGAAGTGAAGAATCTCTCATCTCCTTCGGTTTCTAGCCCTAAGAATTAAAAATAGGTTCTATTCCCTTGTGATCCTACTTGATTTCGGATATATAGTTTTGCGGAGTTGCTTTTTGCTAATTTGTTGAGGGGACATTCAAAATCGATTTGAGTTTCATGCAGAAGAGTCCCTTCAGCATTTGGGCGGCATTCTCTCCCTAATATAGATAAGTGCAATTTTTGGCAATGTCTTGGAGCTATATATATATATATATAGTTATATAGTATTGCGTCTTATTATATAACATAGGCAATGGCCATCCTGCAATTCCCAAAACCGCTTCCTCCTGTACAGAAGATCCCTGCAACTTAAGCATGTAATTAAGTTTGATACATAGCAACATGGTGTGCCGTTTCTTGGGACTCGGTAGTATTATTATCCAAATGCAATGAGCACACACACTAGTTGATTTTATTTGTTTTGTGAGCATGAACAGTTTAGTTATTCATTGCTGTATGATGATGATGATGATGATATTGGACTGGTAGTTCTCTGCATTAAAAGATATAAAATAGTGGGTGCTGGATTGCTCTGGAAGTAAAGAAAGAATTGCTGGGTTTTTGATAGTTAGTTTTGTCAAAAAGTATGGTGTAACCTCGAAATTCCAAGGAAAAGTCTAGTAATATCTTATTTTAGTCAAAAGATTGTGGCTTTTGTCTTGCCTCGCAGCCTAGGACACAATCTGATTCTATTATTTTAATGTATTGTTTGTCTATGTATTGGGGAACTTTATAAAAGAAAAATCAATTGATTAGACCAGTAAAATTGGAGTGTGAATCCGGAGACTGTCGGGTAAAGTCGGCTAATGTTCCATCGAACCAAGACTTGAATAATTCATTCATTGGTTTGTTGGTGTGTGTGAATGTCTTAGGATTCTTTTGGTGTGCGTGCTTTATGTCCAAATTTAAGATGTAATTTGGGTAAATTACTTTTTTTACCTTGTAGCTTAACTGAAATTTTATTTTAGTTCGTATTGTTTTAATTTGATCAAATATAAATCCTAGACTTTATATTTGGTTTCAGTTTGGTTTCTCTTCAAATTATATGTTAAAATTCACCATTTTGTTTTTAACGCATGTTTGCTTGCATAAGAGAGAAAAAAAATTGAAGGTAATTTAGGCCTTGTTTGACAATTCTATTTTTTAATTTAAAAATTAAAAAGTCAATAAACTATATAAAAGGTCATCCGAAATTTATTAATTTTTTGTCTTATATTTTAGTTAAAAATTAATAAAATAGCATTTTATAAACGAGACTAGGCGGAAGGATTGAAGTGAAGTTGAACTTGACGTTTAGGGTTAATATTGTTTGCATTGTAACAGTGGTGATAAAATTGAAATTTAGATCAAATTAATTATAATGATAAAAAGTGTAATTTACCCAATTATCTTTAATGAGACCATGAAGCCAAGCTCGAGAAAGCTGAAGGTTGATCTAACGAGCTAGCCTGTAATTTTATCTATGTCGTGGAAAATTCTATTTCTACACACCTAATTAATTCAGGACACGCACTTGTGAAATTTTAATTTAATGACAATTATATCCCAAATTAAAAAGATCATAATAAACATTCGGCAACACTTATAATATTATATGAAAAAAATCTCTGCTCACATCTTGTAAGAACAAAAAAAGCTCAATATACACCTTTTGAGTGAAAAAAACAAACTTTAGTTTTTTCATTGTTGTCACTTTACTTGATACACACTCTATACTCCTTTATTACTTTTAAAGCAATACTTTCAAAATATCTTTTATATTGCTTTAATCTGTACGTTTATACTCTATTATTTATATCATTTTCTTATTAGTTTTACAATTTTTACTTAATTTTGATATGGAAGAGTTGTACCAGGTCAAGAGATATGTGTTGATGCTAATGTAGTCTTGTCAGAAATGCTTAGTATTTTATTTTTAATTTTTTTTTTATTTTTCATCAAAGAAAAAGACAGATTTTATTGATGGGGAGAAATTACAATGAAACAATAATAGATCAAAGGCCAAGGTGAAAAAAAAAAAATGCAACATTACACAACAAAGATATAACAGAAGACAAAACAATGGTGGAAGAAACAGAACGAAGCACAACAAAATTAGTAGCAATGAAGTGCATCCCATTTGGAGGCATAAACATCTAATCAAAAGGCTTAGCCCTGAGATTTTCGGGGCCCAAAACCAATAATTAACTAATAAATATCACTAGATTATTTGGAGCCCTTTACATTTATATTTTTTTTCATTTAACGAAATTTTTTTTGAAGGTAAATGACAAAAGATTTGTGTCAAAATAACAAAAAATACTTAGCATTACATTACAACAACTAATAAGTATCACTTGATCCTCGCTCTTTTTGCATTTTTAAAACACAAATAAATCGATCATACTTAGAAATTCGTTAGTGTTCTGTTGTGTCGCTGCTCTCAAATTTTTGGAAAAATTGAATGAAGAGTTAGGCTTAAGAATTAGATAGGGAGAGAAAATTGGACATTTTAATTTTGAATGAGTCTTTTAATTTTTTAATGAGTCAATTTATTTTAAGTTAGTTTGGGCCTTTTTAAAAAAAATTTAGACTTAAAACATACCTAATATATTACACTAAACTATAATATGAGGGGGCCCCTTTTTTTATCCTATTTTGAGAGACCCTAAGCCATGGATTGGTGAGCCTAGGCCGACCCTGCTAATCAAGCAAAATTAAACCAGAATTGCTTGATAAAACAATCCAGTTAGGTCTTAGCAAAGAAGGGTCAACCATATCCAAGACGACTACGGAATCTAACAATCCTAAATCTGACTTTGGACTTCAAGGCTTTTCACATGGATGGCTCTGCAAATGTGGAAGTTGGGTAAATCAAAAGTGTGTGAAAATGAGAGTTAATAGTGTGTGTACAATAGTTATGATTGAAGGATATAATTGTAACTTTTAGTGTGTAAATTGAGAAAATTATTCAATAAACAAATTAATAGGTGTGTGTATTGAGAAAAGATGTGCACTGAGGTAATCAAATGTGTGGAAATAAAATTTTCCTTGTGTAGTGCATCTCCAATAGATTTTTTAAAAGAGATTTAATAGTTATTATAATTAGTTTTATGTTATTTTATTAAGGGCACTTGGTTCAAAAGTCTAAATTCAAATTTCTTTTGTTCAAAGGTATAGGCGTAAAAATATTATGTCCATAAGGACATACTTTTTCACAATGACCAAACTACCTACATATATATATATATATATGTAGTATCCACGATGAAACACAAAACAAAACAAACCATTATCTCTCTTTCTCTCCTCCTCTCTCTCTCGTCTCTGTTTTGCAGCGTCATCGCCGTCGCTAGGGGTGAGCAGTGGATATTCCGATCTGCCCAAACTGACCGAACCAAACTGATCCACCTCATTTTGGACGGATGCGTGATGACGAGCGGGAGATTACAGATTAATTTTTTCTAATTCGCTTAGTTTTGGACGGATGACGGATTTGAGGTTCCTTTGGCCACAACCGAACCGCCAAACCGCGAGCACCCCTTAGTAATTTGTAAAACTTTGTGTTTCAATTTGTTTAGCTACTGTGCTTGCGTTTTCAATTGAAAAGGAGTTTAAATATTTTGCTGTGCTTTCAATTTGGAAATCCTTTTATCAAATGGCAAGTGTTGATATTTGGTATTTTTGTGTGGAAAATATAATGCTTAATTTTGTTTTTTTTTTAAAAACCAAATTAAATAGTTTTTAAATAAAAAAAAGTAATGAAATAGTTTTGATAATGCATGGTTTTCTTATATGTATTTATTGTTGGTATTTGACAGTTTACTTGACAATCCTTTGGTTATGTTTAGTTGGATTGTTATCCAAAAAAAAAATGTTTAAAAGTTGTTGTATTATATTCAAAATTTGTAAATGTTTAAACCGCTAAAACCGATTCGCATCCATTCGCCAATCTGGCGGACGGATGCAGATTGATTTTTTTCACTCTGCCAATCCGGCAGACGGATAGCGGATTAGAGGTTCTTCGGTCGTAACCGAACCGCGAACACCCCTAGCCGTCGCGCTATTGCAGTCGTTGTCGTCGTCGTGGTCTCTGTTTCGTACCAAACCCTCTCTCTCTCTCTCTCTCTCTCTCCTTTATACCGGTGGGCCACCACCTTGTTGTTGCTTCTCATCTGTGTTCTCTTTCACCATCGACGGACCCATCGCCATTGCTCCTTGCAAGATCTTTGTCGTTGCCGTCCTTCAAATCCAGATCCAGATCCAGATCGCACTGCTGCTTCGTCGGCTTCAATGACGGCTAGCTAATGGTGGAGGATCGAGCTATGCTAGGGTTTTCTCGACATCCAATGGAGGAGATGCTAGTCACCGAGTTGCTGCTACAGAACCCCTCGTTCATTGTGTCGTTAAGATCTGGATTTGAAAACGTAACCTATTTTCAGACATGTTTTAGTTTATATAATGGCTGATCTTCGCTTTCTAAGAGCATCTTCAACATTTTACTCAAAATTTTCATCAAATTTCACTTAAGTTTGATAAAAGAAATTTGATTTGATATTGTGTGTTCCAACGGAGTGATTTAGGATTTCATTAAACCATCGGTCGACCGGGATGACGATTGGCCAGTTGACCGGCCAGTTTAATTTTTTCACAAATTTTGACAAGTAGGTGGTCATTTGGAGGGGGACAACCGGCCGGACATTCGGCCGGTCGTCTAGTGGTGAAAATAACCTGTAGCTCCAATGGCTATGAACAATGATTTGATGAAAGACAAATCCATCCTTAATTTGATGAAAGATTTAAGAAATCTTGGATTTGATGAAACATTTGGTGCTTGGTTGGAGCAGCAAAATGTGGGTTTTTTTCATCAAATTTAAATTTGATGAAACATTTGGTGTTGTGTTAGAGATGGTCTAATACATGTATAGATGCATATGTGGTAGATCAAGTGTGTTATGATGTTGGAAAATGTAGATCTGGTTTTGGATCTTGTATCTATAATAAATCTAATCTGAAGTAGCTTATGAGAATTATGAGTTCAGAAAAATATGACTGCATTAGGTGCTTTGTGCATTTTCTGTACATTTGCTCTATTTTTTACTTTAATTCTACATTTCTTATTTGTAGATCTAGTCAATAGTGTCATGTTGAGGTTTGAGGAAATCCAGCTTTGCTTTAGTCTTTCTGATTTCTGGGATTTGCTGAGAATGTGCCGATCTTTGAACATTATATATCAGATTGTATATATATACACAACTGATCTGTTTAATTTGTTTTTTTTTTTTTGGATTTGAAACTGTTCAATCTAGATTTGGATACATTTGATGTGTTTTAGTATCGAGATCTGTGTTATTGTTATTGTTGTTGTTGAGAATGATGAAGCAGATAGTTAAAAAATTGAGCAGATAATAAAGTTGTATAGATAAAAATTTGGATAG